AAAGCATCCATTAAAGTGTAACCAAGATAAGCTCCACCAAAAAATGTCCAGGTGATAAGGGGACCATAAAACGGACCACTGGATATATTCTTCAAAAGTAGCCATGTCAAAAAAAAAAAAAAAAAGCCAGAGAAACTGTCTTAGATTAAAGGAAACTAAGACACATGACAACTATGAGATTCCAGACTGCATCCTCTGGACAGAATTTTTTTTTTTTTTTATATCAAGGATCGAACTTGCACTTATCAGGCAGGTGCTGGAACCCCTAAGCTAAATCCCCACCCCTGAACAGAAATTTTAAAAAAACACTTGTATACTGTTGGATAAGTTTAAAAAATGGAATGTGAATGAAATTAGTTAAAAGTTTTATGCCTGCATTAAATTCCCCAATCAAGATAATTGAGTACATAAGAGAATTATGTATTTTTATTAATTCGTGTTTAATTTTATAGAATATTGGATTTCAATGTGATATTTTCACACATGCCTATAAGATATTTTAGTCATATCCATTCCTACTGTTACCCTCCTTAACACCCTCCTTCCCCTTCCCCCTTATTCCCATCCTCTTGTCTAATAATAGTGTCACTTTTATTGTCATGTAATCTTTTTTTCTTTTAATATTCCACATATTAGGGAAAACATGCAACATTTGAATTTCAGAGTCTGGCTTATTTCACTTCAAATGATCATACCAACATTTTCTTAGTATACGATGAAATATTCAAGGAAAAAGCACATGATCTATGACACAGACATGATATATAACATATTCAGTAAGAAATGCACTTATCTTGATATGTGTGGGGGGACATGAAGAGGGAGGAGAGAGAGAGAGAAAAAATGGCAAATATTTCAAAATATTAATACTAGGTAAATCTAAAACTCTACACTATTGTTTACCATCCATACAACTTTTCTATAAGTTTGATTGCTTTCAAATACATTTCTAATTGGATTTGTGTTGTACTGAGCTCTGACTAACCTTTGAGATATTTTACTTTATTCTCACAGCTGCCCCCACCACACCTAACCCTCATGAGTGCTCAACACCAACTTTACAAGTATCTCCCAAGATCTTCTTTCATTATGGAAGCACCTAATATTTTAGTAGGCTTTTACAAAATACTAGAAAATCTTCCCTTACCCCCATTGTCTGTTAATGACACACAAAGAAAATGGTAAAGTCTCAAGGAACCACATTTACACCATGTAACACATGTCATGTCCAGTTGCTATCTAAGTTGGTGTCACCCTGTCATGTGTCTTCTGGAGGTCTGTGGTTTGCAGGTGCTCAGTCCACTTTGGTAAGTCACTTACATGTCCTCCACCAGATTTTCATTTTCCAAAAATGTATTGACCCCTTTTGCCATCTTCTTTCCTGTTCTTGTTATCCTCAAGCACCTATACTTTTTAAATCTTATACTTTTTATGTTTTATTGAAATGTTTCACATGACATACATACAATTCACTAAAGTGTATATAGCTAATAATTTTTGTATATTTAGAGTTGTAAGTCTATCACCAGGGCCCATGTTCCTAATATCCCCTTTGAGGGCCTGTCCCCAAGGATATAAGTTCCTTCCAATAGGCCCCTCCCTCCTAATTTTCCCACCATCTGGTTGGTGACCAATCCTTTAACACAAAAGTCTAAGTCCAGGTCTAGATGGTAACAAAGCAAATTATCTGATAGAGTGATGGCAAAGTATTTAAATGGATGTTGCCCTTTATATCACAGTGTAAATGATGGGGCACACCATCTTGTGCAAGTTGAGATGAGGATACATGGGAGTTATACAGTTCTATCTGCTCCAAATGTTTAAACATTTTTGTAATAAGTTTTTTTAAAACAAAAATTTCAATTGGCTCATGTGTGGAGAGGGAAAGGCTACAAAGGATGACTGGCAAGAGCTGGACTACAGGTTAGCTATTTCTCCAAAAAGACATTTTAGGAATGTCATATCTTTCAGGTTGGGATCATGGAAGGAATATCTTTCTGTATAATTGGAAAAAATGAGGGAAGGAGAACTAAATGCAGTTTTTTGAAGGTATTTACAAAGTTCTCATCTGATGGCCTCTCTTTCCTCTGTGAGCGGTGAGTCCAGGATACCATCTGAACAAGTAGAGATAGCCTCAGTCTCAGGAAAACACAGGTGGATTGAAATCTACGTGAGTCTTAACCTAAGCTCCATGAACTTTGTTCACGGACAGTAGGCACAGGATGATTATTTGTGGAATGAATGCTTTCCAGTTATTGCTGGTGCTGATCATGAATTTATGGTGGGGGCAGTAGACTTACAAGATTATGAGATTAGTCCAATAGTGATCAGTCACTTACACGAAGGCATTAGTGGAAAGACAAAGAGATGGGATTGTTACCAGACAGGGAGGATTGATGGACACTAAAAGACGCCTATTTGGAGCTGAGCTTTTCTTCAAATGTTGGTTGGTTGCCTGAGAAAACTAAAAGGGGAAAAAACAAAAGCAGAACTAGGTAGATAAATGAATAAACGCAGGAGGGAGTGACCTAGAGTTGAAAGCAGGACAAACAGTGCATACTAGAAGGGTGGAATGACGTGCACAACTCCAATGGCAGAGGTGTCCCGGTGATAACATTCTAAGACATGACAGGAAGTGAATGAGAATGGCAGGAAAAAGCCCAAAGATGGGACAACTGAAGAATTTGGAAGCCAAATTATGGGCAACTTTGTTGTGGATGTTGGGCCCTGCAATGATTCCTCACCTCTGCAGGCTTCTTGCCCTGGGACTCTCCAATGTTTTGTCCTTCCCAGAGCCTCTGGAGAGTATGCTTTCTAACTGCAACCCTAAGCTTCAGACATGCACTGCAAAGTCAGTGGCATGAATCTGGACAAAAACAATTATGGTAGAATGAATGGACACATATTTTGTTTTTGTTTTTATTTTGACACCTAGCATTCACAGATTTTTGTGGAAAAACCACTTCAGGAACCTTCTGGGAAACTCGAAACATTTATTAGTCCCTGTCTGTACAAGAAGAGTTCCTGCAGTGGTTTAGATCTAAAATGTCCCCCTAAACTCTCATGTGTTTATAAGGTGATTGGATCATGGGGTGCTGTATTCATCAGTGGATTGATGAGTTTAGTAGCTAAATGTGCTTTCAGGAGGTGGGGTCTGGTTGGACATCAGTCCTGAAGTGGGGGTGGGGTATGAGTGTGTTGGAAGAGTGTGTTTTTGTCCTTTACCTGTCTGCTTCCTGGCTGCAATGGGATGAGCAACCTTCCTCCACCATGCCTTCCCACCATGTGTTTCTGCCCTGGAGCCAGCCATCTTTAGAATTAACCCACTGAAACTTTGATCCAAGTAAACCTCTCCTCCTTTACATTCTGGGTGTCAGGTATTATTCCCAGCAATGGAAATAATACTTAATTCACTCTATTCTCCAAACCTTACCTCTCTGTTCTCCTCTCTTAGGTACAGAAGTCCAACCTTCCTCATTGCAATGAATGAAGAGGAAGGTATGGGTAGCTACACAACGTCATTGAGACTAAGTTAAGGGTAGCAAGTGCAGACACTTCCTCACACTTTAGGGACCAAAGGTTCTTTGGGGGACATGTGATGCCTCTTCAACAAGAGCTCCACAATGCTGGTCACCCCTAGAACCCAAAGGGGCAATCAGGGAGAACTGTACTTATCCCTTTCCATAAGCTCAACCCCAAGTTTCCCGCAACCTATGCCCTCCACACCATATACACAAAACATTGCTTTATTCGGATTTTATTGGGGATCACCCATATTTTCAACAGGGAAGGGATTATTTGGGGGGAATAAAACTTTTTTCCAGCAAATTCTGGTGAAGGACTTTTGGAAAGGTTGTAGCAACTTTCTGGTCTTTGGTGTTCTCAGGAGAGCCAGTTCTCCCTCTAACTGGGCCCCTGCTCTGCACAGAGGCTGATGAGCAGCTGGCCTTTTTGAGGGGGCTTTCCTGGCCTCTATGTTTGGTCCTCAGACAAATCCATTGGAAAAAGGGTTTCACGTTGTCTCTCAAAACATTGTCAAGAGGGGGTTGTCCCTTCAGTGCCAGGGTTGAGGAGGACTTGCTCCCACATGTCTTTTCTAATGTCCTGTCTTGGTCAGGACAGCTTCTTCTTCTGTGGTGGGATGCATCTAGCCCTCCATCACCGCCACTGAGGTCTCTTGTTTTGAGTGTCAGAGGACACTCTCTTTTTGCTTCTGGAGCAAATTTCCTGTCTTGATACTTGCATAAAACATGCTTAGGGACCCAGGGCTCTTGACCCTGTTCCATGTGGGATTCTGTGTTGTCCAAGTGGGCATGCATCATCTGGGAAGCTGCCATGTTCCCACAGGAGGCACCCTGATCATGACCAAGTAAGTTCTTGGTTTTCAAGTTATTAGAGGCAAGGGACACATTCATGGGAAGGTCCTGGGGCTGGCCCTGCTTCCTGCTTTCTATTTTACACTTCAGCTCATTATGCAGCTTATTTTGATGAACTGCTGATTTTAAGTCTTGGGGAACTGCTGTTCTTGTTAGAGGCTGTTTAGTGGTCAAGAAAGTTTCCGGTTTTCTTGTATTCATGTTGTCACTGCAGGAACTCATTCTCTTTTTTATTTTAGGACCAGCCCCAGCTTGCCCTTTGGGTGACTTTGGGTGGCATCTCTGGTCTTGTAGAGTCTGCTTCTGACCCACTGTATCTGTGTTGCTGTGTACGGCGAGCAAAGAACCCCATGTGCCATCCCTCTCATGGGTGGTTTAAGAGGGTGACTGTGTTTGGGCTCCCTGTCCTTCCATGCCTACCGAGGCCACTGGATTTTTCCCCACATGACTTTCCAGGGCTTTCTCTGAGTAAGAGCCCTGAGCACTATCTATAATCCTGTCATGGCCACTCAGCAGGTTTGGGGGGCCACCCTCTGGACTATGTCCCTGGTTCTTCCCCACTCCCTCCTCTAAAGGCACCGTTTCTGAGCTCCTCTCATAGAAAGTTTCAGACTAGCTCAAGTCCTTGTTGCTCTGACCCTTATACAGAGAGATCCAAGACAGGCCATAACTTCATTTGGACTCAGAGGTCTCAGGGACCTGACTCTGAGGCTGCATCATTGACAGAGACTCATGGACTCTGCGGGGCAGGCCCCAGTAGTGTTGAATGAGCCTCTTCTGAAGGTGGTGTTCTAGTTTCTTTCGAAGCTCACTGCTGCAGGGAAAATCTCCCCGTAGGATGGAAACTGGCACATGGGCCTTGGAGGCCTGCTTAATCAGTGAAAGCTTAGGAGCTGGAGGACAAAATTCTTCCTGAGATCTTCGGACCACAGAAGGTAAACCCCACACGCTTTCTTGTACTTTCTGTAGCACATTAATTTCCAGCTGTTGAATTTCAGAAGGTGTAAGAAGAGACTGTACCTCACCCTGGGTGCTATGAAAACACACTCCACAGCTTCTAGGCTGGCATTGAGGAGAAAGTAGCAGAGTTGGGGGTGGGTTCTGAAGTGGGGCCTGGGTCTGCATAGGAAGGAGATCGGGAGGCTGAGATCCGGACAGAGTTTGGGGCACGGCTTCAGGTTGGGCCTCAGGCAAGGACAGAGGTGGAGGGTGTGGAAGGACCGGGGATTCCTGGGCCGTGGAGGTGTTGGAGATTGTATTAAAGCAAATAAAGATTGAAGACCAGTTGCCTGATTCAGGTACAATGGGGTTCAGTGACTCTCTGTGTAGAGATGCAAGACCCCTGAAGAACTGGCTGTGTGTTTGCTCTAAATGAGCCTCCAAGGTCTTAGGGCCTGGGGGCTTCAGATGTGTGTGAAGTCCCTCTGGTTTGCCCTCCCTGTTCCAAATAGGAAGGGTGCATGCAGAATCCTGCTGATCAGTAGCTGACTCTGATCTTTTCCATGAAAAATTTAGTGGGGAGTCTGGCTGATGTTGCTTTGGGAAAGATTCTGTTCTCTTTCCCTTTCCTTTGCCTATCAGCAAATCAGGCCTCTTTTTGATTTGTCTTTCCAGGAGGGCCTGGCTGTCAGGGCTGAGAAACTTGAGGTTTCCAGGCTCTACAAGATGAGTTTCAATGTCTCCCTGAAAAGAGACATCCATGGGATGAAAGTTGTTAGTGCAGAACCCACCAGGGTTCTCCACTGATGAAGTGGTTTCTGGTTGAAGATCCGGTTTTGCTTCCTGAGTGTAATGAAGCAGGGAAGGGGCAGAGGCAAGTGGCTGTGGTGGGAAACAGTCCGCTGGGGGTCTGGAGTCTAAGGGAGGAATAGGCTCTGCTTGCTGAGAGTCATCCAGCGGCACAGGTGTCAGTGCGTCCACTAAAGAGCTGACTGGGTCAGGTGGGAGAACAGAGGGTGGAGGTGGAGAAGGCCTAGGCACAAGGGCTAGAATTGCATTTCCTGGAAGGACTGTTGAGATGCCAAAGGTCTCTATGCAAGATGACTCATGATCTGTGGAAGTCCAAGAGGACACAGAGTCACTATCAGCATCTTCCAGGGATGTCTGAGAGAGCACTCGCCTGACTTTAGCTATTGTGGTGTTACACACGTCACAGAGGGGGTCTGGACACAGCAACTGACGAAGGTGGTTAATATCAGGATGCTGGCCCAGGGGCCTGCAAAGACAGAAAATGCAAAGTTATGGCCAGGACCAGTACAAGGAAAGGAAGGCCTTCTGTCCTGATTAGGGTGGGGCCACCTGACACCTCCTACACCCTTGACAATGCCCCACAGCCATGACCTCACAAAGCACAGGCCCATGACCTCCCAAAAAATTCATACTTTCTCTCCAAGCCTTCATTCACATACTTGTTCCTAAAGCTACCCCAACCTTGACCACCACAGACTGCACTGAATCCCTGGGATGCACAGAACATATGGGGAAAAGGAATAGTAAAGAAGGAAGTGAGTGGCTAATCACCTTTTCAGAAATGAAAGCAGCTTCCTCCCCTCCTGTCTTTCTCTCAGGCCTGCTCTCCAACCTGAAAAACCAATGGCTGACATGTAGTAAAGGTAGAAACACAGGGATCTTATAGGAGTCTCTGTATGAGAAACACTTAGGGTATTAAAGTCTGAAAGTCCCAGTAACAGTAGACAAAGCCTGATGGTTAAGGATAATGTTGAGCATTCACATGTGCATGTGCTTCCTCCAGTATGATGCTTAAAATGACCATGTGGAGCACAGAAGTCAGGGTTTACCTCAGAGCTGAATCTGAGTGTTCGGGAATAAAGTACTTTACACAGTGTCAGGAGACAGAAGTTGTGTCTCCAAAGCAACCAGGAGTCCTTCCTGGACAATTCACACAGCAGCCTGTTTGGCAGCTCCCATTCATTGCCAGGACTGTCACTGCTTCACCATGGTGGACAGAGCAGGGCTCTGAAAAGTGTCTCGGGTTTCACGCCTTCCTGTGGGCCTCTCCTCTGAGGGCTCTGTGTTCTGACACAGCCTGTGTTTAACTGCTAACATTTCCAGAGCTCATGACCTGGAACCTCCTGAAAAAAGTAGGAGGGGTCACCTTGGAGACCTGAGGTCAAAGAGGAAGAATCATACCTTTAAGTGTTCTGCTTCTCCTCCTCCTCTTTCTTCTGTGCTGTAAATGAGAGCAAAAAGAAAAGAATGAAAGGCTGGGGTTCATTTATCTCACTCCTTTCTCTAGCAAGCTCAGAAATTCATTAATCATTTAACTCTCTATTTTAATTACGAGTACAAAAATCATTTGACTCTTTT